CGCTAGGAATACGCGCACGTCTCGTAATCACACGTGTTGTCCCACAAACGCACATGTTCACGTATGTTTTAAAGCTACGTTCACATCAAGCCCAGAGAAAAAATTGTGAAAAAGGGTTCAGTGGTAATGAATAGGACCGTTCACATCAAATTTGCACGATTTTCAATCCGGACTCCCCTAGCCCCCCAGCCCCCTCTGGCTCCACCACTGATCAGCAACAAGCTTGGTTGGTTCGAACTAATCGAACACATTACATACTTAACCCAAACAATCGTGTTCCGTGCGCGATGTGAACGTAGCATTCAAAAAACATAGCAACTCACGATTTTTTGTCCGGGCCCCGGACCGGATCCGGGCTTGATGTAAACGTAGCTTAACACTGTCGTCTTGTGGGATCTTATCCAAGGGGCAGGGCTTAGCAAAAAGTTTGATTGTTAACAGTGGCTACTCACTGTTGATTTTGTATGGTAAATAATTGAAAGCAGATGAAAGCCCATCATTATTTATATGTAATAGTTGAATAAGTTAAGAAATAACTAATCTTTTTTTTTTTTTTTTTCCCCCCCCAAAGGGGGGGGGGGGGGGGGCCGGGCCGCCCCCCCCCCCCCCTAAATCCGCCCCTGAGTATTTTATCATGTATGGTTTTCACACGTTCTGCTCAGCCGATTTGGGGCAAAAATTAAAAAGGTAATGTATAATTATGCTTTAATCAGTGAGAGTTTAGTGCTGTTAAGCAACTGACTGCCTTGATGTTTTAATTAGACAATTATTATGTTTGTATTAGTATGGAACAATCATTTCATCATGAAAATGTTCAATTAACTTCAGAGTGCACTGATAGTTCATGTGTTTTCTTTCAGTTGATTGCACTACTAATCCATGCATGAATAATGGTACTTGTGAGAGTAATAATTTGTGCAATTGTGATGGAACTGGTTACACAGGCACCTCGTGTGAAACTGCAGGTATTTATGTTACGTAGAAAATAATTATGGTAACATGATGAAATAATCTTTACATGTAGATCTGGAAAAATAGAGTTTACTGTATATACCCATATACCCAGGGGCGGATCCAGAAATGTCCAAAAGGGAGGGGGGCCGGAAGCGGGGGCCGCAAGTTGGGCCGATTGAGACAACACTGTCGGAGGGGGTCTGGGGCATGCCCCCGCGAAATTTATGTGTTCTAGACGCCCGAAAATAACATTTGAGGCATTCTGGGCTATCATTTTTTTCTTTTTCTCTCTTTTTTTTCTTTTTTTTACCTCCCAAAAGGGGGGGCCGCCCCCCCCCTAAATCCGCCCCTGATACCACCCACCAACACCCAACTTGTAGAGCTCCTATCCTTTCCATATTGGCATTGCACAAGATTTAAAGTTGGAGTCTAGAGTTCATACCCACCTCAGGCCACCAATATTTTGGACTGAAGTAACAAAGGTTTAAAAAAAGGGCACCTCAAGATGTCCGAAAACAGTGGTTGGCAATTGGCCTAATTTTAATTGTAACGTATACAGCTACCGATTCTTTAAGAAATACTGGTAGTTGTACATTTACAGTAATAGTTAGGCTATAGGTATATTTAGTTATCTGTACTGCATAGACCTACTCCATATAAAAATATAAGTGTAGGTTCCAAATCCCTATTTTTTAGTTATATTTATATTCTTTAACCAAGGAGGTTCAAACCTCCTTGCTTTAACCTATCTTTGTAAAGTCGAGCATATCCTGATTAACTTGCTTATCATGAACTGATCTTGCCAGCTCCTTAGTTATGGGCTATCTGTTTAGTTACCATGGTTAACCACAGCTGTAGGTGGAACTGTTCACATAAGCTGAACAGAGTATATGAAGTTGAAGGCTGTTGTTTTAAGTTAAAGTATTGATTTAAAGCTGTAATTAGTCCTTGTAAGAAAGCTCAACCTTTGGTGAGTTACTTTGATTAGTTTGATTTTACTTGCTAAGCATATTATTATGATTGATTGTTCTTTTTGTTCATACAGTAGGCCTAGGCCTAGTATATTTCTTAGATGTATCATTAGAATTCCTATGCACTCCTCAGAATATTAATTACAGTTGACATTGTCACTAACACATAGCCTACGTAGAATGCTTAGTTAATCTAAATGAGAATACATTGATATTATTAGTACTTTAGTTGCTGCGAAGCAGCCAATTCATATTCTTGACAGCAATTTGACCTCTGAAAGGTCATTGTTTGTCAAAAATCAATCGCCTGAGACAACTGAAAAGCGGAGTTTCCTTCTTTCGTTCTGCCGGGTAAAATCAATTACTTTAGGCGACGTTTGTAGACTAACCTACTCGTACCAACGTCGGCATGTCGCGACGCTGGAGTACTATTCAGCGTTTGTACTATATTTCTAGGATTCCTATTTCTACGTTTAATCTGCTCATGTCTCAGCCACAATATTTTGAGGACAATATTATTTACGAACCCAGTTAAACTTATTTACTAGCCTATTTCAACGTGCTAATTATTACATTTAGGCGACGCTTGTTGTAGACTGGCATAGTGTTTATAAAATAAATACCATTTTATACACATGCGCAGATTGATTCGCCAGCAGCGAGTCATCGCCCAGCAGCAGCGAGCCATCGCCAGCAGAGAGATGTCACTGCAGCAAAACACTATTGCACCAACGCTGTTCTAATAATATATAGACAATGGGTCGTGCTCATATTATTTGTTATATTTTTATTATTCATTATTTTCACTTGACTCGCATAAATAATTTTGTTCGAAGAATATTTTATGCATGGTTGTACTTCGCAGCACTTCACTTGCAATTTGCAATTTCTAGTACATTTTCTATTCTTGAGTTAGGCTTCATTTCTGAATATTTCATCTCGGAATTTGTTTATTGTTTTCTTTAACTGTTTCAGTTAATCAGACTGATGGTTTATAGTAGAACAATCCATTTAAGTATTTGATTGGTTCTTACTAAAGAAACAAGAAACCGTACTGCATTAGCAAGTGTGTCATTGGCTAATTACAATCAGTAAGCAAAAGTACTATACAACTGATACTTTATAGGCTTTTCAACAATGTATCATTAAAATCTAATGTACTCCACAGATAGCGAAGATCCTGTATTGACATGTCCACCTCACACCAGCTTATCAACTGACAGAGGAATGTCGACAGCTACTGTCACATATAATGCTTCGGATGTTACAGTAACTGACAATTCAGGGGAAACTCTTGTTCCAACTACCACAACATCATTTCCAACTCAATTTGTGATAGGACCAAATAATATAACGTATACAGCCAATGATTCCTCAGGAAATACCGGTAGTTGCACGTTTACAGTAACGGTTACAGGTTAGTTATATATCGTTATCTACACATATACTTCCTCCATATAAAATTATACTTAAGCAAAAATAATATACAAGTGATACTTTGTAGGCTTTTCAACAAACAATTATGTATTATGTAAATCTAATGTACTTTACAGATAGTGAAAATCCTGTATTGACATGTCCACCTGACAGCAGCTTATTAACTGATGGAGGAATGTCGACAGCTACTGTCACATATAATGCTTCGGATGTTACAGTAACTGACAACTCAGGGGAAACTCTTTTTCCAAATACCACAGCATCATTTCCAGCTCAATTTGTGTTTGGACCAACTAATGTAACGTATACAGCTACCGATTCTTCTGGAAATACTGGTAGTTGTACGTTTACAGTAACGGTTACAGGTTAGTTATATTTCTTTATGTATACATAGACTTACTCCGTATGAAATTATGCTTCAGGAAAAATACTATACAAGTGATACTTTGTAGGCTTTTTAACAAACAATTATGTATTATGTAAATCTAATGTACTTTACAGATAGCGAAAATCCTGTATTGACATGTCCACCTGACACCAGCTTATCAACTGAC